GTAGGAAATCCTTTCATTTATTCTTTTACTAATTTGCTATTTAAAACCACTTAATATTCTTTTTGATAGTATTCTCATTTTATCTTACTCATATATTTGGGTTATTTCAAGTTCTTCTGTGGTTTCTGAAGTCTTGCTTCCTTTGGCATTTATTCCTTCTTTCTAGTCTAGGGCACTGCTTCCCCTCAGATGTCTGAAGATCTTGGTGTTTTCCTATCCAAAGATGAGCACCCCTCTCCCCTACTTATCAACCTGGAGCTTGCTCACTCGCTCAGCTCTTGCTTGGCAGGCCTAGTTCTTGCTGCTTCTTTTATTGGGATTGAAATTATAACTGAGTTTTTGATATAATAATGGCACAGTAGGCTGCAGCCTTCTGTGGTGTGGAGGAGAGCTTGCCTCCAGGACCCCCATATTTCTGCTCTCATCCTTTGTCTTCTTCATGCTTTTCTATGCATATTGTGTGTTTGCTTCTGGGAGTTCACAGAGCACCAGTCTTGAATAGCTGATGTATGTGTACAAGCTGACACTGTGGCAACACATCCTCTTCTGTGAAGACCTGGATCCTAGTTGGGTTTCTTTTAGATCTTGGTTTTGAGCAGTGTAGCTACTGTTTCATTGCACATACAGATACATAGACACAGACACAGACATAGACACACACACACACACGCACACACAGAGGCAGAGAGAGAGACAAAGACAGGGGTAAAACTTCAGCACCCTACTAATCTTCCCTTTACATCCTGGAATACAAGGGCAATGCTGGGGTCTCCACAAAAACTAAATCATTATTTTAAATGACTGTATTATAGCCCCACAAAACGTTTAGGCATTTACTTTAGAGAACTTCACTGTTCATTAAGATATGAACTTGGCACCCTGGCAGCTAATAGTCTTCAAGAAGTCACTGTTTCCTTATTAAGGAAACATTAGTATGAGCTAGAATGTGTGTGGGTGAGTGCATGTGTGTTTGAGAGAGACAGGAAGACAGGCAGAGGCCAATGGCAGGGAAATGAAAGAAGACAGCAGATAACCCTAGAGCCTGCCTGCCCAAGCACAGCCTCAGTGGGGAGCCTGCCTGTTTGAACTAAAACATGAGAGTATTAGTCATGGTTCTCTAGAGGAAGAGAACCAATAGGGCAAATCCATATATATATATATATATATATATATATATATATATATATATTCATATACATACATCCACATATATGAATTTATTAAGTCAACAAATAGTAAAATATTTACATCAGCTCAATCACATGAGAGGCTGGTGGTTGCTAGATCACCAAGACTGGATCCCTCAGTAGTGGTGCAGTCCCACAGCGGCTGTCTGTCACTGGAAAGACTGACAACCCAAACCCAGTAGTTTCTTGGTCCACAAAGCTGGGATGCTTTGGTGGTCACAATCTTGCTCTGAAATCTGAGAGGTTCCTGGAGAGCCATTGTTCATTGTTCTATGACGGAAGCCTGGAAACACCGGTTCTGATATCAGGGAAGGATCAGTAGCTACAACCGAGGCAACAGCAGCAGAGGGTGATTCAACTCTGTGGCGAGGTGAACCAAGAACAGTCAAGCGATACTCCCTCTGTCATACTCTTATCTAGACTGCTACCAGAAAGTGTCACCTGCAGTTGGGATGGGTTGTCCCGAGTCAGTAAGACAATCAGGTAAGTTCTTCAGCTGAAGCTCCTTGCTTGGTAATTCTAATTTATAGCAGGTTAACATTGAAACTGAACATCATAAGGAGACATCTGGTCTTATTGTCTATTGTCACGAAGCAGAGAAGACGAGAAGATGTGGCCAGGCTTTAAAACCTTAAGGTTTGTTCCCTAATGACTCCTTTTCCCAGTGAGATTACACCTCCCTAAGGTTCCACATCTTTCCAATAAGGCGCCACTAGCTTGGGGCAAAGTATTCCAACACCTGAGTTGGTGTGAGACATTTCATGTTCACACATCAGTCAGTTACACATTACACTTACACATTATCCTTGTTGGAATTGCCTTCTTCCCTTTGCCTGTCTTTTCCCTTATAAAATGGGCATGTGATTAATAGTCTTGACATCATGATATTCCAGGGAGCAGGATTAAATGAATTAATGCATATAAAACCCTTCAAGAGGGTCTCTTCCTAGCTCTTAGTGCTTTTTAGAGACTTATTTATTTATTCTATGTACAGTGTTCTGTCTGCATGTACACCTGTAGGCCAGAAGAGGGCACCAAGTATCATTATAGATGGTTGTGAGCCACCATGTGGTTGCTGGGAAATGAACTCAGGGCCTCTGGAAGAGCAACTGGTGCTTTTAACCTCTGAGCCATCTTTCCAACAGCCAGCTATTAGAATTATTGCTTCAAGGCCTTGGTGTTGCCTTAAGTAAGGAGTTCTGTTACAAGAGATGTAGAACTTATTGCTGAAAAAAAAAAAGAAAAAAAAACAGAAAAGCATTGTGAGTGGAGACAGAGGCTCCAGTGCAGCCATATCTGGAAGGGGGAAAGGGCTGAGTGTGATTCAAAGGCAGGATTCTGGAGCATAAGCCAGAACAAAACAGAAGAAGAATTGGGCCAGGCCTCAGTAGGCCAGGATAATCAGTATAGAGAGAGAGGAGCTGTACTGGTTATGCCAAATCGTACTTCTTGATGCCAAAGCTATGAGTAGAGGTATCATGTGCACAGTTACGTGGTTAATGGAGTCAGAACATCTCTAGCATTTGTAAAACTGGGGTTAGGGAGGAATCTCTATTTAACAGATGACACAGATAAATTGGAAATATTAAGTATATATGAAAATGTCTTCTTGAAGAAAAGGACCAAGAAAGTGGTGACAAGATTCAGAGTGATTCAGTAAATAAACTGTCTCTAGGAGCTTGGAGTTAGTTGACTAAGGGACCCTGTCCAGTGAATGAGAGATCTAGAAAAGCAGACTTTTCTCCTTATATGAGAGGAGTTTTCTAAGTACCTAGGGCTACCATAGAGTGTGAGTTTTCCACAATGAAGTAGGGAGAGCCTAAACAATGGCAATGGCTGAGGAGCTGATCAGGAATTCTGCATATGGCTTAGCAGTAGATCAGTAGACCCGATTAGTAGAGTTGACCTAAGGAATTCTGCATAAGGAGCCACATGTTCTAAGCCCGTCAACCACAAGATCCCATGCTCATATGACCATCAGGTCAGACCTCATTTCCAAGGCTCTTCAGACATTGTCTCAGCCGCTGGTCTCCCACTCCTCTATAGCTGAAGGTACATGGAGGTACCACACCGTTTCTGGAGTTTGTGTCAAAGGGAAGATGCAGTGTAGTCAACCAGGACCATAGCTCCCAGACCACCCTCTCTACAATCTAGGCACGTTACTAGCTTTAAGACATCCTGTCTGTTGGTTTATACCCATTGACAGCATATAACTTGCATCCTGTCCCACTCTACGGATCCCTAGAGCCTCTGTCTTTCGTGCTGCCATTTGGCTCCTGTCTTTCCTGTGTTACTCAATGCCCGCCTGGGGAACAGGGGTGCGCATTGACATCCAGTCTACAGAGCTGGGCCTGCACCGAGGCAGGGAGTGTCAGATGGCTGTCCAAGATGTAACTTCTATTTTATTCACTGTGGCTTTTCCCCCCCCTCAAAGCTTTTATCTAAGAGACGGAGCTTCTTCCACACTGGAGTCTGTAAGTCTCCAAGCCCCAACCTATTAGTTTTCATTCCAGAGCCAAATAAAAAGTCAAGCCTCATTCTCCAAGATCCACTGGTAGCAAGCTAGAAGCAAGCATAGGAAAGGTGCTCAACACAGATGTTTGGGGACCTTGTGTAAGGCTTCAAAGAATAAAATGAAAGTGGTATTTCCATGGGAAGGTAGAGAACACGAGGAAACCAGAACAGTGTCTGGAAAACCTGGCGGCTGAGCCCCACTGAGGATGCTGATTGCCTTGAGTGTTATGCTGCAGGGTGCAAAATAAACACTGCACACAAGGACCACTAATTGCTTCATTTATTCTTCCATTTAGTCAGGGAAACATCAGAGCTTATTCAGTCTCAGAATGGAAAATTACATGTTGGAGACAGAAGAGCCACATTGGAGGGATGACAGTACTGTTCTGGTCCAGCTCATTCACGTGTTTTATTTACCCTTTAAGTGAAGACTATGTATGCATACCAAGACAGAACTCCGAGGGACACAGCGGAGAAAGAACCACAGACTGCTTTTTCCTTGCCTCAGTCTAATCTACATTTGCAGATTAAATGGAAATGCAGGGGATTAGGGGTACATCTTGGGGGCTTGGGGCTTGGTTTTTCCTGTTTGAGGATTAAAAGTCTCAATCTTAATTAAGGTTAATACCGACCTGGAGCTTCTTATTTGAGGATAGCTTACTTGTCTCTATAGGAGCAAGCAAGCAAGCATCATCCAGCCTGCTTGGGTTGGGTATTTAAAGTAAATACTGTAAAGTATACTGAGTTGGAGGTACCAGGAGTACAGTTCTGACAAATACCCCAACATGAGACCATCACAAATAGACCCAGGAGAGCATCTCAGTGACACACGTGGCTGAAAAAATTCAGATTTCTTGAGCAAAGAATGTTCTTAAACCCTCATATGCAGGAAGGGAAACTGAGGCCTGGGGACAATTTTTTTCCTGCAAAGTCACATGGCACAGTTAATGGCAGAAACTAAAGTTTTCCCGTGTTTAACTGTTTTCAGATACGACATAAATATATACTCCCAATATTATTATTGTTGCATTAACCAAGATTCTAAAATTGGCAATTTTTATCTCTTTAAGTGAAAAGAAAAAAAATTCTGGAGAAAACAAAATGATTTACATGGAACATTCATAAATTCCTTTTCATCCTTAGGACTTTTATGTTGATAGAGTTAAAAATCTGACATCCAGACCCAAATCAGGAGACAGCGCTTCTACGAGCACACGATGATATCATACACAGAGATAGGTGTGGAAGACAGCACCACACAGAAGGGTCAGGAAAACCAATTAGAGAATGAAGCAGATCACGTTGACGACTGGTCTAAACCGTAACATTGACACAACATTGACCCACCAGAGAGACTAGATGGCAGAGGGGCTGGCAGAACCCATCAAAAGTGGGCACAGATGGACACCTAACACCCAACATCACCTGAACTAAGCCTGCAGGACACGTAGTCCAGCCCCACATGGCTCTAGGGATAGGTCACTGCCAAATGCATGTCATCTCAATAACTGGCTGCCTGCCTTTTTTTTTCTTCCTTTTTTCTTTTCTTTTTTTAATGATGATGTGTGTGACTCAGAGAGGGGGAGGCCTGAGGTGGCAAATGTTTCAAGTGGCTGACAGAGGCTGCACGTTCTGAACTCTGGACAAAGTGACCGGGATCTTGGTGTCACCTGGGCCTGGAGCTTTAGTGATGGGCTGGGTATGGGCTTTAATGTCTGCGATTCGCTCTTTAAACTTCTGCTGCAGGAACTTTTCTTCTTTGGAATAGTTCTTGGCAAACACGGACATCAGTAGGCACCCTGCCATGGATGTGCCCCCAATGCAGAAGAGAACAGCCCCCGCTAGCTTGCATGTGTCCAGGGCGCCATTGAACTGCACAGCGTGTGTGTCAACCACCATGAAATCAGCTTCGCCAAAAGCTTCAATTTTGGGGGGCACGAGAAAGCCCACTGCCAGGACAGTCAGTCCGAGAATCACAAAGACAGTGCCTGAGATGAGTCCGACCTAGAGAGAGATGAGGACAGAAGCAGGTGAAAGTGAGTGGCTGACCCCTTCTTATGCTTCCACTCAGCCACAGGCGCATCACCCACTCTTTCAGAGGTCAGGCTATTCCCAGCCTCCCCGGTTCTCCATAAGAAACAGACTTCGTTGTATATTTAAAGTAGGAGGTGAGAGGAAACCCTTTCTCATTTAATGCCATCCAGAAAGTGCAGCCCCAAATCTTGCTTGCTTTCTACTTGTACAAGCTGAAGGAACCTACGTTTGTTCACACACCTCAGGTAGTGTTGGGGAAGAGAGAAGCTGTCCTGATGCCCAGCGCTGGCCTACTATGCCCCCTGAAAAACGTTGGTGTCACCAGAGGCTGCCACCTCAAGCACAACACATTTCATAGAGTGTCAACTCAGACAAGATCAACCGGTGACCATGATAGGAAAAGACAAGACCAAACCACTTCATGATTCTGTCATCACTTTTACAAAATACGGTCATCATGTAGGATGCTCTACCCAGCAAACAGGCCTCTCTGTTACTCCTTTCTCCATCATGGCTGTCCTCTCGCTATAACCTGCCTTCCTTATAGACAAGCTTTATCTAGACACTCCAGAGTGCTGCATTGCTTCTTTAGTCCCTCCCGGAACCCTCTAACCAAAGCTACATGCTATAACGCATTTGTTCTCCCTTGTTCGTTCTGTTTCTGTGGAGTATATCTTCACTGCAATGAGTAGCAAACCCAGCATTCTCAATGGACAGATGTGGTCCTCGTGTTTGGATCCCGAGAACACTGACAATCCTTATGAACATTGATGCCTTCCAAAAGTAAGCCAGGAAGGATGCAGTGCCACCAGTTAAAGATGCAGAGCCTCCAGAGGGTCACTCACTGGTTAAAAATAGACCTGCCGCAGAGGTAGGGCCTGGAAGCCGCACAGATGACCTCAGACCAGTTCTCTGTTCCTTTTCACATGAGTGGAACTTGTGGAGATGCCAGCATGGTAGAACAACGCATGGAAGATAAACCACCCCAAGGCAAGATCTTCTTAAATACAATGCAGTTAATTTAGCCTCTCACTGATATAACCAATAACAGGGCCAACTCTGTGGCTGTGAAAGCACAAGCCACCCCTTGCTTACATCTCATCAGATCAGGAAGCAGAGGAAAGGAACTAAGCTGGTCAGTGGATGAGAGGGCTCATGTCCGTTGTTAACTTGACTACATCTGGAATCAACTGAAACTCAAGAAGCAGAGTAAGCCTTAAAGTGGGAAGACACACCTCAAATGTGGGCCGCACCTTCTGGTGTCAGCCCATGTGAAAGGATGTGGAAGAAAGAAGTGTTCCCTCTGCTGCCTGCTTGCTCTCACTGGCAAGTTCAGCCACCCTCTTGCTGAGATTATCCATCCGTTGTTCCTAGAACATATTTATTAGAACATATTATTCCAATGCAGATGGAAGAGCAGCAGCTCTCCAGGAATCTGTGGGGACTCTAGCAAGAGGCTGAGACTTCGAGGCTGCTGAGACATCCAGCCTTGTGGACTAAACAACTACTGAATCCTTAACCTTTGGTCAGGAGACAGCCATGCCCCCATGCTCCTGATCATAGCCTGTAAGCCATTCTAATACCCCATCTCTCTCTCTCTTCATATATCTCCATATATATATAATCAGTTCATTCTATCAGTTCTGTTCCTTTACAGTTGACATTCTTTTTCCCTTTACAGTCATTCTGGGATGTGCCCTGTGGTGATCCGAGCCCACACACAATGGGTAAGTAAACTCCCTTTGAGCTCTCATCCTACAACTTGGGTTGGAATTACAGAAGCGAAGTTGGTTGAATGTTTGTATCACCATTTTCCCTACTTATAGAATTACAAATGATCATAATCTCTACATTATGACCATTATGACATTATGAAGATTAAATGTGACTGTGTTCAAAGGCACTTAACTTTGTGTTTGGCTAAGTAACAAACTATGTTGAGTAGCTATCATTATGTGGAGGAAGAAAAAACCTTTGGTTAACAGCATTAAAACAGTTACTTAGCATTTGGAAGAAAGATTAGTTAACATTGGAATAAGGATTAGCTGTCTGTTTTTTAAATGTCTTTTTCATTTCCTCCCATTCCTAATTGCTTTAAGTTAGAATAACAAGATCAGAAAGATAAACAAATACGCAATCCTACCTAACCTTGGCATTTAAAGTGTGTGTATTTATCTGTTGAATTTTACAGGTGATGCATTGACCGAGGTGTGCAGCATTGGGTGTGGCCCAGGTACCATGCTAGATGCTGTGCATCTATCACAGCTGCTTATGAGAAGCAGAGATCTTCATAGTCATCACTGGGAGCTGTGGTCAAAGAAGCACATTCTAAGCTTCTGTAGTTAATATACGTTGGGTCAGTGTGACTTTCCCCTGCTTTTCTTATGCTCACAATTATTATGGGCAAATTATGCCCCAAAATATTCTGTCAATTACTGTTTTGCATTTCTCAGCCTCATATTTATTTTAATGTCAAAAGAGTTTTCTAGGCCATATACGGACACATCTCTTTGATACAGTGAAGAAATAAAAAACAAAACAAAACAAAAAAACCACCACCAACAAAATATGTCAGTGTGAGGCTAAATAAAAACAGAGAAGCTATTCTGGGTAATATTCAAGTGATGTAGGAAAAATTGGGTTGTAAAATCATATTTTGGATTGCAAAAATAATGGTAAGTAAACTTACCTTCGGAGACTGGCCATTACTTATAACTCTTCAAAAATGACTTACATTGGAAAATGTTGGAAGCACAAACTAAATTAATTTAAATATCCATGGTGACTTGCTTCCGTGTCACTAAAGTACCTCCGTCCTAAAAAACTGGTACTGAAGCCCAAACATCAAGATGGGCAATGCTGCGTCTGTCCTGGTTTTGCAGTTTCTGCAGAGCTTGGTAGGCAGCGCTGCTGCCTTTCCCGCCTTGCCTCTTCAGAGTTCATACTCTAGCCTGACTCCGAAAACGCTCTTGATGGGCAGACGCTGGCCTCCAGCCTACTGAACGTGGACCACAGTGACCTCAGCACAGCTGCTGCTCAGCTAAGCAGTGCACAAGACATAATATGCTCTTAGACTATCACTCACAGGCTAGCAGCGAACTGTGGCTTCCACATGGAGGAAGTTCTGATCAGTGTCAGAACTGAAGCCTGACTGGTCAGGCAGAGCCTCCTTCCTTGGTTATCTCCATTAGAGTCTCAGAGGAAGGAGGAGGATGAGGAGGATGAGGAGGATGAGGAGGAGGAGGAGGAGGAGGAGGAGGAGGAGGAGGAGGAGGAGGAGATAGTCATCACTGGCTGTCTGCAACCAACGCAAGTACTATGGAATCACCAAACAGTGTTCACAGAGAGGAACATGTTAAGACAACAAGAGACAGCTCTTGCAACTGTAGGCATGAAGGAGTAATGAATGAATCATGACGAGGCTGCTGCTTACATCTCCATGAAAATCATGAAAGGGAGAGCGCACTGCAATGTATAGCTTGATCCTGTTATCATGCTGGAATTTGGGAGGGAATTAAAATTTGGGGATTTTAATGAGTTACCATCAGGTAACTCATGAACTGTATCTGAACGTAGTTGTGAGTTGAAGCAGTCTTAGGTGTAAGCCAAAAATCAGTAAAAAGCATGGTCACGCAAAGGTCATTTAAGGCTCCTAGAGAACACTGAAGTTCTGTTCGGTGCCACGTGTGTGGGAAGGCTGTAATGCTGCTGGAGAGGTCCCAGTTAGGTTCCAAGACCATCCCCAAGCTATGGGGTGACAGGGCAAGTCTCAATGGTGAGTCTGAAAGACCTCACTAGATGATGATAAACTTCCATAGCAGCAGTAAGGCCAGAGTCTAGGCTGTTTCTGCCTGAGCACAGCATGTGTGAAACCCATTCCCTGCTGCAACAAAGGAGAGTTGGCTAGAAAGACAACCTTGGGTTCTAGAAATCAGCCAAAAATTGCTGTTATTTTGACCAACATCTCCTTCCTTGTTTCCCAGTGTGCTGGCGAAGTCTGAATTGACAGTGTGTGCCAAGCTGGTAGGCAGAGCCAGCAAGCAGCCTCTGTAGCACGGCTGTTCTGGCAGAGAGGAGGCAATAATGACTGCAGGAGGCCAGAAGCTGCTAAGCATGGAGGAACAGCCTGGAGGGGAGAAGGCTGGATGGTGCTGGGCGTGAAGGAGCCATCTGGGACGGAGATCATTGAAAGCTCCTGGGGAGTTAAGAACTGGGATTTGATCCTTCCGCTTCCCTGAGGACGGCTGCTGCTCTCTCTGTAAGCCCTGAGCTCTGAGTGGTGACTCTGCCCATGGCTCTGGCAGGGTCTTGCTCATAATTACCTACCTACCCCAGCTAGATTCTGAGCTCCGCAAAGTAAAGTGTGACTTTGTCTTAGCTGCGTCTTCAGGCCTGACCCCACACAGTGTGCTCAGTAGCCCTCCGCTTCAGTAATGGGCTACCCATCAGCCCTTGCACTTCACAGAGATTATTTCCCCTAGCACACACGCAAACTCAGTAGCTTCTATATTCAATAATTGTATTAGTTCCTATGCTCCTATGACTTTGACATCCAGTCTTAGTCCTCTGTGATGCCTGAAACCTGCATTCTCCTAATTGTTAAAGCTCCCAATTCACAAAGACTATTATACCCATTAAAAATATGTGTTCACTCCTCAAATCTATACTCTCTTTTTTTTTTTCCTCACCATACGCGGTATACCAGGAGGCAGTGGAGAATTTCCTACTGCAGCGAAAGCCTTCTGTGAGCCTCTGAATGCGTTTCCAGTTCACCCCTCACTCATCTCCAAACCTGAAAGCACCCCTGCTGTTCCGTGCTCTCTTTGGGTCCCTGCTATCTGCTCTGCTCTTCCACCCCTCCACATTTGCAATGCTCTTCTTCCTACCATGGTGCCCTGCTCCATGGTCTCCACTGGGAGCAACTTCTCCAGGCTGCACAAGATACATGCTTCCTCCTGCTTCCCAAACTCTGTGCTCTCAGTGTGTACCAGGGGCACTTTGTTAACTGTTCCTACAGTTAGCATACTGGACTGTAATTACTGGTGTCACGCTTACTTCCTCCATTTAACTGTGAATTGCTCTGTCTTATTCAGAAGCAAGAATGGATCCTGTAGAGTCTATTGCAGTTACCAGGTGGTCTAACTTTTGGACATTACTTGTGCAACATAGGAGGGAAAATATTAAAATCCTGATGATTGTTGGTTGTTTACCGTGAGTTCTTTATTTTCAATTCACAGTTGCATATGGTTTAATGGATTTGCAGGTCCCAAATCACACACCAGTGCTTTGGGTCTAGACAGATGCTTAAGTATTCTTTGGTTTTGTTTTGTTTTGGGTTTCTTTAGGGGAGCCTAGGCTGTGCTTGACTCGCTTTTGTAGACCAGGCAGGCCTTGGATTCACAGATCTGCCTGCCTCTGCCTCCTTAAGTGCTGGGATTACAGGCTTGTGCCACTGCGCCTGGCACTTAGTATTCTTTATGTCAGTGGCATTTAAAGATTTTGGCGAAATAAAAATATTTCACTCAGTTGTATGCACATACATATATATGTATAGAGGGAAAGAGAAAGGAAGAGGAGAGGTGAGAAGAAAGGAGGAGAGAGTGCAGGAAGAGACCTCAGAGAGGAGGAAGGCCATCACCTATACAAGCTGTACCTGGCTTAAGTACTCATTTCATTGATCCAGACCAATAGGGTTTCATCTGAGCTGAGATTTCTGTAGAACAAGACTGCTGACTGGTCTAATTCTAATGTAGATTCTGTGACAACAGCATAATTTTGAGTTAACGCAAGCCTTGGGTCAGCTGCACTAACAGCTATTCACTAAATTTCTAGTTTTATTTCCACCCAGAGCTTAGTGTTTTAATTGGCATGAAGTAACGGCTGCCAGTCAACCAACTCTTATTGAATGTACAGCAGCCACTGTCTTAAGCACTTTTGAAATACTGTCTCAAGTCTCACATTATTTACATGGTAAGCGAAGCGTCACCACCCAAAGTTACAAAGCTATGAGACACAAGAGCACAGGTTTGAATTCGTGTGGCCGGAGACGAGAACCTGTGTTCATATTCACTAGGCAGAACTGCCTCTTGCTACACTGTATTAACCACACATTTCAGCTTAAGTCAACATCTGGGAATAAGCACAGAATCTTGGAGCTGGAGGAGACCCCAGACATCTTCTGAAGGTGAATCTTCTCAGTGTCCTTCCCTAAAATTTCTTCCATTCCTTAAGCATCTGGAACATTTCAGTGTTCTTTCTCTTCTATGCTCATTGCCTTTTCCCAGGTTGACTCAGCTGGTACCTTCTGTACATTCTATCTATGACTGACCTCCAGTTCATGAGCTGAGACAGTAAAGTGAAAAGACCTCTCTTTGTTGTGTAATAGCGATCTTCAGCAAGCCAAAGTCCCACGGTTTTCACTTGTCCCAGATATATCCATCTGAGCAGGTCACTGCATCATCCAGAACTCAACTCAGGCCTGAGATCCTGCTTGATAGCTTCTTTGCATTAGCATATTTCGACAACCTGACCTCCAAACTTTATGATAAGCTGAACTGTTTTAAACCACCATTGACACCCACCTAATACAAGCTACCACTGTCTCTTGCCTAGGTACTTTACAGCTTCTGAATTTATCTAGCTGTGTTTGCCCTCTGAGGACTTATTTTCTGCTCGGTAGCCAGAAAGACCTTGACAAAATATTAGTCACTCTTAATTCTTCAAATGTATTTCCCGGCTTCTTGAGATTAAGGCCTATGTCTTTACCACTATTATAAGGACCCCCCCCCCCCCATAGAAACCATCTGTGTTGTTATTTTTCTGAATTCATTGCCTTCCCCATTCTGACTCCACTTTCAGACTGGACTTCTTCCCTCTTGCCAGGGGTCTTGGGATTGCTACGTTTCCAGCTCTGAATGACAATCAGCCTGAAAACCTTCTTGTCTGCTCCACCAACCCATCTGTGTTTGCTCAGATTTAACCTCTTCTTTCTGTATCCCTGTTCCTCAGTCTTTCTCATCACTGTATCCCTTGTGCCCGTTTGCATTACCTGCTTCCTCTTACGTGAGCTGTTGTCACTTGACATGCTGTTAGAACCTTTATATGGTGACACCAGCATTCATTTCTCTCTCTGTCCTGACTATAGATGCATGGACTAGCTGCCTTGGGTTCCTGCTACCTGGGGCAGGAAAATTTTTGTTTTCTGTTCATCATTTCCAGCACTTCAACCCAATCAGTATACAGATGCAGCCAGTGGTAAGCATGTGTTTTCTAATGAAGTGCCTCAGAGAGCCCTAGGACCCCCTGTAGGGTGGAGGAAGAGCTGGTGGTAAGACTGCAGGGCAATGATGCTTTCTCAACACCTAATGTTTTTTTCTTTCTTAGTAATTGGTCTAAGGTGTTAGCTGATACTGAGTTAGTTCCTTCTCTCAACACTGACAAAATACTTGAAAGAATCAAGTGAAGAGAGGCAGGTTTACTTTGGCATTCAGTTTGAGGGAATATGATCTATCATGGCTGGAGAAGGCTTGGCTCTTGACTGCAGTGGTAGGGGTTTGCTCCCTCTGGACAACCAGGAAGCACAGATCATGTGAGAAGCCAGGAGAGGGTATAAATCTCAAGACTCACCTTCCAGGGACCTATGTATTCCAGCTAATCCCCAACCCCCCAAAATAGCAACAACAGCTGAGAACCAATTGTTCAAACACAGGAGCCTGTGGGGGACTTTACACATTTAAACTACAACACACACCTATCCAGACTGTAAGGGAGGCTAAAAGGACACTATGTTCTGCATATGAGTCCTTCACAGTTAATGAGTGAAGAGCCAAGTTAATAACTACCAAGACTACTAATTGCCTGGCCTTTAAACCTACTCCTTTTTAACCAGTTCACCAAGTAATCATGTTGCACTCAGAGGCTTTCTTTAATCCAAAATTTATAATCTCTTTTCCAAAGGAAGAGCAATGCATCTGACGTCACCAGGATTGAGGCGCAGAGAGAACCTCTCAGTTCTCTGTAGCTCTGCTGTTCTCTACTTCTGATATGTACATTTTTTTCCATTGCTCCTTTCCTCACCTTCCAGAATACTGAGCTCCACCTGTTCGGCGATCTCTGGATCTGGAAATCATCCTCATACTCCCAGATGGAGGCAGTGCAGTCCTCATAAAACTGGTGCAGGTAGGACCGAACGCCATAGCGCTGGTACCCGCCCTCGGTGTCGGCCTGGGCTTGCCTGGACCCGCAGGTGTTGCTACAGGAAGTCATCTTCCCAGCTGGAAAGACAGAATCAGCCTCACGGTCTAGTTGTTGGATCTCAAGATTAAAAAGCACATCAAAGGCAAGAACCAAGCTGATTCATGCCAGGCCAGGCTAGTCGAACAATTCTCTTGTCTTAAGTGAAAAGGCACTTCCAAAGATCCACCTACCTTATCATCTGCCCTTCTCTAAATCACCTCCAGCATTCAATGGCTAGAACTGGGTCTCCACAGAGGAGCTACAACTGCATCAGTCACTTAAATTATATAAAACAGAAGCACGAGGCACATGAGAAGTTGCAACAAAGAAGCTCCAACAACAGACCCTTAATTCAAGAAATTTGTGGGCACCCTCACTGGCCATGGCTGGAATTTGTCTTGGGTTGTCCTGGAGTTTCAACCAAATTTCTTTGCAGGATGTGTACAGTATTCCTCTCGGCAATTTCAGTTTTGCATTCAGAGCTCACATAACATCCTCTGATCTTTTAACTGACTGTTAAGTCACACGCAAGCTTCGTTAGAAAGTTGTGGAGCGACTTACATACTTTACTAATCACAAGTGACTGGACCATTAATTTTCACCTCACTGGTTCTAGCACTGTGTACTTCTGTGGTTATTTGTGGAAGTGTCTGTTCATGTGAGTATGACAGTTTAATGCAGATAATAGGCTCTTTTGCTATTTCCTCCCAAGTGTCTAGTATAAATAAGACTTAAGAAAATCAAATAAAACTTGTTATGGGTGAGCTGCTTAGGGCATTACCTTTGCAAGATGGAAACTCAAGACTGATTTGTTCCAATTGCTACTTTTGGAGAGAGCAGTTTATATAGGTTTAGTTAATAATTCATGTTATTCTTAAAAAAACTTTATTTAATGTGTTTGGGTGGGTTTTTTTTTTGTTTGTCTTTTTTTCTGCATGTATGTCTGCATGTATCATTTGCATTTCAGGTACCTGCTAAGGCCAAAAGAGGGTATCGGGTCCCTTGGAACTGGAGTTATAGGTGGTTATGAGCTTCCCTGTGGGTGCTGGGCATTGAACTGCAGTCCTCCAGAAGAAGTGCCAGTACCACTTAAGCCCAATGTTTTTGTTTATTACTTTTAGTAAGGAATTACTGAGGGGGGGTCATAGTTTTGGTGGGTGAGGGATTTCTCTGTTCTGTGTCCTTTGATTTTTCTGATCTCTGTATAAGCAGATAAGTGTTCAGCTAGCGATGGGAAATACTTGGCATTTTTCAGTTTCTTATAGATTATTTTCCTTGTTTGGACATAGACCATAAACAACAAAGTGAGGCACAAAGTTATTTTCTCACCGGAAAAATATTTTCCCAGGAAAGTCTTGGACTGGGCTATAACCTAGGCCAAGGAAAATGCATTAAATGTTCCAATTGCTTATCAAGAAGCCAGCTGGTAATGTCCACAGGACAAAAATATTCTCTATAGTTCCATCAGATTTCTTTGTGATCACTTAGTTTGGTTGAATACAGTGATGATTGCTAACCTCAAAGAGTTTAGAATCACCAAGTAAACAAACTCCTAGACATATCTGTGAAGGGTTTTCTAGCTTAGGTTAAGCAAAGTGGGACGAATCACTGTAAAGGCAGGTAGCACTATTCCAGGGGCTGAAGACCTGAGCTGAATAATGGACCGAGCACCAGCATTTATCTCTCTGTCCTGAACATGGTCTTAATGTGACCAGCTGCCTCAGGCTCCTGCTGCCATGATGTGCTATGCCCCAGGACTGTAAGTCAAAAGAAACCCTTACTTGCATAGGTTGTTTGTCAGTGTCTTGTCCCAGCAACTCCTAAAGTAACCTATACAGATAGGTAGTGGTGAAAGTTAAGAATATTCCTATGGGAACAAAGCAAGCCCACAAGAGCATTCCTCTATAAATACTCCTGCCACAAATGGATTTGGTTAGAAAATATAGTCAGATTTGAGGAAGTATGCTCTCGGTGTCTGAAAAATGACACAGTTGGGCGGCATCCTTGCCCACTTTGTCTCCGTTTTCTGTGTGCTGGCCAGCATCACATTTAACACCTGTGTACTTTCTTGGTTCAGGACCAACTACCTCTAAAATAATCATTCAGGAGAACATGTCAGGAGAGGTAAAGGTAAGCATTAAAAACAATGTTTAGACATTCAGAGGGATTTTATTTCAAAACTAGTCAAGGTTTTAGAAAACATTTTCTCTGATTGCAGCAAAACCTCATGGACCATTCAAAGAATGGAATGGTACTTAATCCTTATAGCTCAAGTGCTAGGATGATCTCTTCAGGTACCTTCTATTTAATGCTTATACAATGAATATGATTAATAAGAGCCTATTATCAGTGACACATAAGTAGAATAATTTTAGAGTTGCCTTCTTTGAAGACATTCTAATAAAAAATAATTTTAGCCAACTGGATGTGGGGTTGGTATTACTAACTATGCTTTGTCATTGAGGAAACTGAAGTATAGAAAAAAAATCATCTTGCTAAAGGTTACACTGTGAGTCAGGGAAGAGACAAAAGATGACAGTTACTACCATGTGCAGGGGCTTGGGCTGAATCATAGGCCGTGTAGTCAGAATCAACTCACCTAGTTGTTTTATATAATCTTCAGGTCTCCTGCAGAGCATCATGTGAAGAAAAAGTGAAGCTAGGTATGGAGTAATGGAAATGCCCTTTATAGAGAAGCCACTCTCTTCAGTCGCTGAAGTTCCCACTCTTAGAACTCAGCTCTGATGCTCAGCAGGTCCCTGAAACTCATCATGTTCGTTCTCTACCCAGCTTACAATGCTGCTTTGTGATACTCCTTAGTTAAACTTTGTTAATAGCAAAACAAAACAAAAAGACAATGTGTGTGTGTGTATGTGTGTGTGTGTGTGTGTGTGTGTGAGAGAGAGAGAGAGAGAGAGAGAGAGAGAGAGAGAGAGAGAGAATAAGAAAGCACATGGACAGAGTGTCATGAAGTAAACATTTTGATCCTGAGCACACATTCTGCTTCAAAATGGATCATTAGTGATGTTGTATCTCTTTCCATGGAGAAATCTTACAGAGCCGTACTTCGTCTTCTAAGAGCACAGGGCATGAGGAAGAAGAGTGTGACCTGTATCATCCTAGCCACACAGAACAGAGGATGGGCTCAGGCACTTGTTTCTGGTCATGAGATCACATACAAGCTTATTAACCTGCCTGGGTTGTGCATTCATCATCCTTACAATAAGAAGGTTGGACTGGACGAAGGTTTTATTTTCAGATGTGTTTTTTCTATGAGTTGTTGACTTCAAACTTCAGAACGAGTCATTTACTTTTTGTTGGGCAAACAACTGAGCTTATTGATACCCCACTTCCTCATGGACTGTCAGTCCCAAGCATGTTCTTAATTCTAGAGTGTATGAAGCTTACGTTAAGGGCAGCGTAAGCTTCTACGTAGGCTACCTACTTGCATTAAATAGATTGAGTGCTTATAGATTGTTCATTGAACACACTACCTCAGTATCATGTCTGTGGTCTTCACTAGTAGCCCCTGATGGGAGGAGGTGTCTGAGAGGATTCACATACCTTCCTCACGATACAACTCTTCGAGACTGATGCCTAGAGGAGAATGACCACTTTGGAAATGAGTTTCAAAACTTACCATGGTACAGTGAAGGTTTGTGGGGGGGGGGGGTCTAAGAACCTCAGTAGATTTGTAGAACTCAAAGAGAAGTTAGCCAGAAATTAGCTGTCTCCACACAAAAATTGTTATGGTTATTTGGAATCTATTCTGTTAACTGACACCAGGGTGTTAGACAAAGGATACATGAAGCCATGTCCTAAAGTGATTTCAAAGCTGGGCAATTTTTAAATGCTATGCAATAAAGTAGGATGGAGACAGGAACGCAAGGCTGGGCAAAGGTCTTTGAACTTGAATCACTACTCCTTACTGGGCAAAGCTTTGTCATCTTGTTTTAAATATCTGTATCAGCAGCCACCAAAACAGTACTGTCAACATTATTTATGGCTATTGTTAAGGAACAGACCTTAACAGGCTCCTTAATTTAGAAAAACAAACAAACAAACAAACAAACAAACAAACCTTTAATATCCAAGAGGTACAAGCATAGAAGCAGAGAAGAGAACTTTCTAGAATTATATTAAATGAGATACTGTTCATGTATAATTTGTATAATTTATAAATACTCTAGTGGAGCCTCTTGTGTGTGTGTGTGTGTGTGTGTGTGTGTGTGTGTAGGAAGGTTGGCATTGAATCATCTCTCTGTGTAGCCAAGACTAGACTTGAGTTTCTGATCCTCTTGCTTCCACATCAGAAATTACAGGTTTTGGACTATAGGGATTGCACGCTGGGGTTACAGGTATGCACTACCATGCCTGGTTTGTATAGGGATAGGTGTCAGATCAGCGCCTTGTGCGTGGGAAGTAAATGTTCTACCAAGCTACCCTTCCAGTCTGGAATCATGGCAGAATCCAGACAATATCCCATGAGGGTGGGGCTGTTTGCTCACCTGTGAGGAGAGATTTGCTTGCATTCTCCCTGAAGGACTTCGTAGATACTGACAAATGAGGGCTAGCCACATCTTTCTTCTTCCTGTTATTCCTCGTCAACAAACTAGCCTTCATGTGCAGCACTGACGGCAGGTGAGCACAGTGCTGAGAACCACCCCCTGGCTGGAAATACAGATCCCCAGTGACAGTGCTGTGACTACGTGGGGGAATGTGCTGTGGTACCAATTGCCGGGAGTTTTAATTTTGAGCTAATATATGCAGTTATTTTCATTTTATTTTAAAAATGCTCATAGTCATGGAAACAGAACTAAGTCTTTATGCCTCCTGCAACTCTGAGGACACCACAGGCAATCACACTGTTTATCTTCATGGTCTCCTTGAGGGAAGGGAGGCAGCACATTGAGGCACAAAGTGGATGAGTGTTTTCCCATGGCTCTATGTGTGAGTCACTTGTGGACCAGGCTTAGGCCCTGTTCTCTTGATTCACTTTGAAATAACTCTCAATTTTTCATATTGTTTTCTCTCCCTCAAAATGATCCTGATCTAATGAGAGCAATATTTCCACAGGGATAGTGCTATGAGACACAAGGTATGGGCACAGGCCATTGAGACCATTTATCCAGAACCAAACTCAAAAGGTCACTTCCCTTAAAAGACTCCATGAGAGTCACAGTGCACACAGGAAGGCGTGAAAGCCAGCTAAGAGCTTTGCCACTTTGACACTGAGGATTCTTGAATTTCCTCAGCATGATCATAAATCTAGAAATGTGTTTTTACCAATGGATCAGTTCAGAGAGATTTTATTTTTTTGAATAATCAGAGAGATCACAGCTTTGTATAATGAGGTTTTTTTATACCTTCCATACCAGTGACTTGGCAGTCACTTTTATAATTTAGAAAAAGGAATAATAGTGTATAATTAGTTTATTCATTATCTGTTGTCTGAATCTTTTAAATGATAGTTATCTATGGTTATCTACTTATATATCCATTTATCTATCATTTTCTATCTAGCTGTATTCCATCTATCCATTGATTATCTCTCCTCTATCCACTTATATACTTATCCATATCATATATTATCTTCTATCCATCTACATATATTATTTATATTTTTATCTATAACATCTACCAATCAATCTACCTATATAGCTATCTATCTTCTATATGTCTTTTATCTATCACCTATTATCATCTATATTTTTATATCTATCCTCTATCTACCTATCCATCTGCATCTATCTGTCTATCTATCTATCTATCTATCTATCTATCTATCTATCTATCTACTTATCTTTATCCATCCACATATAAACTAATAAGGCATGCAAGACTCAAAACCCAAATAAGCATCCTTATTCTCATTTTAAACTTCTTCCTTCTTTGATCCACACAGGACAAAAGCTGACTCTTACCTTCAATGTTCTCCTTGTCCTCTGCCTGTTTACTGTGTGATCTTTCTTTTTAGAAGCTCATTCTTCAGTTCTATTTAAGAAAAGAAAACAGCAACTCTGCAGATATGACCCAGAAGGGGGGAAAATTGTACAAGCCACTCACAAAACTATTGACTAAGACCTTCTTATGAAAGAGCAGAGACGGCTTTTCTTAAAACAAAAACAAAAGGAAAAAAGCAAACAAAAACAAGCTTGAAAGTCTAACTTATGTTTTAAAACTTTTTAACGGCTTATAATTTTTGGAGTGACTGAAGTGACAGAAACCCGAGGGCCTTGCGAGCCCTGGGACACCATAGAAGAGATGTTTTTATTTTTGCATCACTGTTTTACATGAGGTTGATAACTCTAACGTGACTGTTCTGCTTCTATCTCACACATTCTAAGCGGAATCTGATATCTTGTTTCCTAGACATCTCAGAACTGCTCTGTAAAACAAATGAGCTTTAAAATCCTTGTGTCTCCTGACAGGCTTACATGCATCACACCCTCAGAAAATCTCTTTGGACAATTTGCTCATTGTGTCTAGTTAACTTCCATATCCATTCTCTTCCTATCATGATCAGTTTGTTCTCCAGCTGCTCAAGAGAAGCAGGTGCCTGTGCAAAATTCAATTACGAGACCACTGCTAGCTACTGAACTATTGGTTTCCTGCATTGCGCTAGTCTTGAGAAAAAAACAAAAACAACAAACAAACAAACAAACAAAAATAAGGTCCGTATCATCCAAAAGGTCATTAAAAATCCTGTTGAACAGTCTTTGTGTATTTGTAGGAGAAACAGAAGATTTGCGGAGAGAGGGGTAAGCCCAGAAAAGACCTAACAAACTGTCTTCAGCATTTCCATGGTCAGTCTATAGTGAAGAATAGCTGTACCTTCTTCAAGATCTATTTATTTCCTTGCTCCTGAAGTTTGGGTGGTATATGAGGTAACATTAGAATCTAGGAACTGAATTAACAAAAGAAATCAATCCAGTTAAAAGCTTCTACCTCACTACCTTCTTCTGTCTCCTAGATTCTCGTCTTTGCCTCTCCTGGTTCTTGTCTGTCTTTCTGGGCAGTGTCCTTTCTTTTCATCAGCCACCTTTCTTGTTGTGTCTGAAGAAACTGATGGTAGTTGCGTCTTCCACCAAGGCGCTGGCCTGTCTGGCGCCCTGGGAGCTCTCCACAGTCCTGAAAACATTGGCGCCACAGAGCCAGGAACCAATTAAGCCCGCACTAGCTATTTCAACTCCTGCTGGTTTGTGAGGTCGCCAGCCTTGGTCTGACCTCCACCCTCGTGTTCCTATCTAATAACAGAAAGAAGTAGGTCCTAAGATAATATCAAAACATCTTTAGATATGGCCAACGGCTGGGGAGGGCCGGTGGTGGTGATTCCGGTAGAGAAGGGGTCAAGCCAACCTGGAAGAGAAACCTAAGAAGCCTTGCAAACTCTCTATATATCTGTTTTATCCTTAACTGAAAATACAACTTTTCTTGTCTTAAAGGAAGCAAACTCTTTTAAGTTTTTAGCTGTACAACCCCCAAATCCTTACATAACATAGACCACAGACCTCCAAAGCCTGA